GTTTATTTGTGTATTTATTTATTTGTCATCCGGTTCGTTGTCCGTTTGACCCTTTAACCCTCGATCATCTTCCTTTTCCGGGTCAATGCTCAGGTCGGTTTTTAAAATATTGCTAATATCTCATTTAATTAATATGAACATATAAGATAAAATATAAGAGAGGAAAAATATTGGCTTTAAATTTTCCCATTAGTTACTATACTAATTTCCACAATGTTTTCCAATGATAAGTACTTTCCATAATATTTATGATTAGTCCCGTCACTGAACTTGTGTAGCATGACAAAAATTAACTAACGATCATAAGCGCCACATGTATATATTCGTTATCCTATTTTTTTACCATTCATAACGAGTGATAGATGGTGTATCGATTTCGTAAATTAGATGGCTAGTCAGAGATATTTTAAAGCTCAGTTGCTAATTGTGAAAAGTATAATCGACGTCATTGATACATTTTACTTTCAAAATTACATATAATTCATAACACAACTATGACCAATTCACTTAAAATCAAACTNTCAGTTGCTAATTGTGAAAAGTATAATAGACGTCATTGATACATTATACTTTCAAAATTACATATAATTCATAACACAACTTTGACCAATTCACTTAAAATCAAACTCTATATTGAAAATATAATTGCTCTTTTTCTTACAAATAGGTACATGTATATCATGTATCTGTCATTGCTTTTCTAATAAGATTATGCTTTCATTTGCCTGCACTGCAACACAAAGTTACCCTCCATGTGCTTTCTTGGCATGGACTCGGCCGCACCTGGGCATGTCAAGACATCATATGCTTTCAAGACCATCGGAATAGCTCTTGACACGTCGGAAATGGGCAGCAAACAGTTGGCCAGAAGAGTGTCGCTTGTTGCAGTAGAATAGCTATCCCAGTAATATTGTGGAGGAGGGATTTTATTCACTACCTCTAGATTGATCTCAAAAAGATCTTGCTCTTCTTCTTCTTCGACTTCGACTTCAACAAATGTTTTAATATTTCTGCCTTTTTCATATTGTTTTTCACCATTCTTAGCTCCTAAATCCATGCTGAAAATCTGTTGCATACAATCCATGAACTAGCTAGCTAGCTATTTATACATGGTGCTGATTGTAGGGTTGGTGGAAGGTGGGAAGTAGGAGATTTTTCAACAAATTTACAACTATCTAAGTGGAAATCATGAGAAGCTGTAATTTTCAAAGCAATATATATTCTAGTTTTGGCAGCTCTTCCAAACTCAACTAATAATAATAACACAATATATATACAACTCAGAACCATAGTCTAAACATAAACCTTAATTAACTATTTAATTAAAACAGAAGATATAATTAAATTCACAGATTGTGATAAATTTCTTGAACTGCAATCAAATAATCTTATCGAAACTGAAATATAAAAATATATAGTTATGAATGAAAACCAGCGAATTCTCTCCCAATCCAGGAAACATAATTTTTGTTTTTTTTTTGGTTTTTTGGAAACATTAATTTATTGTAATATATGAAAGAAAATTAAACATGCACACACAAGTCACAACTTAAATTAATTATTTTATTCCCATTAACAAAAATGTCAAGGAAATATGGTAGGCAGGTAAAATTTTTCCAACCCCCAAATTCTTCTTGATGATTGCGTGCATAGAATGAAGAAAGGCTGACTTTTTTTTTCAATTTTATTTTTTCAGAAAAGGCTGATTAAGTTCACACTTCCATAATCCATTTCTCTTAGGAGAATGCCCTTCAATTCTACATGTATTTGACATGGTTGAATGAATGGAATATCCAATATTAATATACTATTTGCAAGTTGATAGTTAAGAGGATATTATTTTTGAACTCTAATTTATTATGAACTATTTATTTGTGCGTTATGAATCTCAATAAATATTTTGGGAAGTAACTTTCATGTTTACTGCGTATTTCATGTGTTGAATTGGATATGATTTTGTTAATTATTGACTCCAAGAATCGGGATCGGTCTCACCAATCGACACCACAATCAATCGACCAAACCCACAAACCAACTCCCCTAACTGGTTGCTATCGCTGCTGCCCACAAAGGGCGGAATGTGATAGATAATGGGAGCTCAAACATAGCCACAAAGACTAAGGTAGAAGATGAAAGCAAGCACAGTGAGCACGAAGCAAAGCTAGAAGCACAAAGCCAAGCAAGGGAGCACAACTTTCTCTAAACACACGAATGCCTATTCTCTCA